GAACATTGACAAATCATGGATAAAAATAATGCAGCGAGCTCATGAGAACCCAAACGTCATTAACTGTTGTGTTGGAGATGAGACAATGGGACAACTTCTACCTCATTTACATGAGCAGCTGGAAGTGTGTCAGAAGTCACTTACAGGGTAAGAAAAGTTTCTTAAAAACATCATTATAAATAGTTTACATAAAGTGAGTAACTATTTTATTCAATTACAAATCAAACATATAAAAAAGTTGCTTTCATAGAATGTTAGTAACTAAGATAGAAACTATTTTACTAAGTTATATGCTCTCACATACTGCAGTCATATGCTATAGTCTCACTAGGAAAACAGTCCTGTAATCTTTATTCTGTTAGATCTCTTCAAAACTCCTTATGTGATTGATACAGCTAGATATTATCCCAAGATACTCATAAAATGTGAAGGGGAAAGTGTGTCTTTAAGTATATTTAGACATCCATACTTCTCTTCTCATTCAACGGACTATTTTAAATAGATTTTGATGTATTGGAAGGTAGGCCTACAAAACAGCATCAGCTCTTTATGACCTTGATTCAACAAAACACTTAAACATATGTATAAAGTTTAACTTGTGCTTAAATCAGAGCCTATGTAATTCTGTTCTGAGTAGTCTTTGTTGTTAGAAAGTCTTGTGCTTGATCCCAAAAATCAGTTTCCCATCATTGTTTAATTCCACACTCAAGGTACATTTGTGCCCTGAAGTAAAAACCTGTACTTCAAATATCCTCTCAAAGAATTACATTTACTGACAAGAACATCTTGTTTATATGTATAAACATCTCATATTCAGACAGTGAGCTATATCCTTTCATATTTTGGACCCTGATTCAGGAAAGCTTCACGTTCAGGATAACACTTAAGCCTGTACATTTCAGGATATTGCTATACTGAAAGAGATTGATTCTAGCATGTCCCTAAGTTCTTTTTTGAATTGTAGCTGGAGTGTTTTAACTGTAAAAGGATTGAGGGCACGTGTTTTTTTTGTTTTTTTTTTTAATGTAAGTTCTACACTTTTTCAGTCTGATTCTCAGTTATAGAAAAAATGGGGAAACTGAAACATTTTGTAAAAAAAAAAATCTTGTTTAATAATTAAGGTATTTAGAAAAGAAAAGGCTACTGTTTCCCAGATTCTTCTTTGTCTCTGATCCTGCCCTTCTTGAAATTCTGGGACAAGCAAGTGATTCACACACTATTCAGGTAAATCTTGATTGATTTTTCTAGCTTAGCCAACCAAAAAAAGACATGAAGAAAGTTCTTTAGTAAATAAAACCTAAAATCTGCAAAAACTAAATGTAATATAAATATTCACAATAATTTTATAAATAATTACATTTTATAATAATTCATTAAAATAATGTAATGCTAAATATAGATGCAGCACCTTATACATGTAGTATTCTTGAGAACCTCATTTAGTACAAGTGTACTAACTAAATATAGTTGAAACATTCCACAAAGTTCACTGAATTAGGGCACAAATAAATGCACTGCCATATGCTCTGTGCCGTGTAAAACGCTATTTCCAACATTAAATGAAGAGTGAATTTTCTAATATGTGCTAATATTGTGTGTAATTATTTGAATTATTACTTGTATACCTTTGAATTACTTTCTGAATTTTCCTATAGCCGCACCTGCCTTCTATATCTGACAATGTGAATGAAGTTCAATTTCATGCGAAGGACTATGATCGCATATTGGCAGTCATATCAAGGGAAGGAGAAAAAATTCCTGTAATTGTCTTAATTTATTGTAATATTTTTTGTAATCTTTTAAATGTCTAGTTATATAAAGAAACCATTACATTACATACTGAGGATATTTGGTTAAATTAAGTTATTCTTAATATATGAATTAACTGCCAAATGATTAATAATATGCTCAGAATATATTTTAGTTATTTTTAAAATAGTTATTATTGATTTTTAAAGTAAAAGCCATCATTGTTTAAAAATGTGTGTAAAATGTATAATATAGAAATAAGTTCACATAGTTACATCCAATTTTATATGCTTTACATGTATTTAATTTTTCAGCTGGATACTCCAGTGAATGCAAAAGGACCTGTAGAGCTTTGGTTGCTAGATTTATTGCGTGTGCAACAGTCTTCATTACATGGTATAATTAGGGCAGCATATTACCAAATTAGTGACTCAGGGTACCAGCTGCTGAACTTCCTTAATCATTTCCCAGCACAGGTGAGAACTAATAATGCATGTGTATAGACAATGATAGATAGATAGATAGGTATCAATATTATTCTTCACTCACAGTGTTAAACAATTATTATTCTCAAGAGCTTCTGCTTAAACAATAAAAGACATGGAGGTTAGGAAAAGAGAAAAAAAACAAAATCAGGTTGTCTTAGAGAAATTGTTACAATTTCATAATATTTTAACAACACTCAGAGGAAATAGACTATGACAGATTCTTATGACATATTCTTTTTGTTGGATCCTACTACCAGAAGCGCGTCCTTGATTGTAACCAAGTGCCTTTTTCAGCCACTTTAAGTGGTTGCTGTCTTCATATGCAGTAAGTTGACTTTAATAAAGTGACTTCTATAGATCCCAGGTATGTCTATATTAGAAACTATATCCTGACACTTTCCAGGATAGCTTTTGTCTTTCACCTGCATCTTATTTTCTCTTTGCTGACAACATCCAAGATTCAAAACATGAGTAGACTATGAGAGAAGAAGAGGAGAAAGAAATGCGGTTTGGTCAAAAGTGTGTCTAAAAGAAGGAAGAAAAATGGTCGATACAGGAATACACAGTCAGCCATTGACTAATTTATAATTCCAAAACACTGAGATTCTTTTCTTTGAACAAAGCTTTGGTTAACCCTCTACGCAGTAAGAATACATGTAAATAGAAAAGCCTAAAGCCAGTGAACTTGATTTTCAATTGATTTCATAGATTTCATAGATATTAGGGCTGGAAGGGAC